GTGTGTGTGTGTGTGTGTGTGTGTGTGTGTGTGTGTGTGTGTGTGTGTGTGTGTGTGTTATTTTTACTCGTCAAAAAGCCCCTCCATTGAATCCGGAGAATAGGAAAGAACTGCCGATGGAACATCAAACCTAGACTGATGTGAAGTTTGGTAGAATTGTTTCATATTCCTCTTGGGCGTGATCTATCAATTATTCCGGTGAACTAGTTTGTAGTTTGCCCTTCAATGGGCTTCTAAAATGTGCTAATACTTGTGCATTAAATCGTGATCATTCTCGACGATCTGGGAATAAAGTATCACACACTGCTTTTCCTCTTAAATTTTTCAAGGAATCTACAAAAAAAAAGGGGGAGAAAAATCTACCGTTCTCACTTCAAACAAATTTTTCAGGTACATTAATTTTTTATAGGATTTGTTTGTGCGGGCGTATCTTCACCATAATTTTTTTCTTTGAGGCACTTTTCAAAAAAAAAAAGAGCGAAATTGACTGCATTGAATTCTGGAGAATTACATTCTCTTATTAGTCACATAATTCAAGCAGTCATAGTCTTTTTTTTTTTGCAAAGTGGTTGCAAAATAAACTAAATTGGTTTATTCCTGACTGAGAAAATAGCAGGCATCGACCTTTTAGAGGTAGAATTTTTTAAAAGGAACAATAGAATTCAAGGGTGGCAAACTAAGAAGGTTTTAGTGTCTTTTAATAGAGGAGCACAAAATTTTCTGAATTGCGTTCTGAAGTTCTACGGAAAGGATCCGTTTTTTTTAAATTCTTTTCCTTATTAACATTCCTCCCTCCACACCTAAGAGACAGTAGAAATACGCACCTAGAAGTACTAAAAAGTCACTGTCTGTTTTCTATTTTTTTTGCAATAATTTTACTTTTTAATTTTCCTTTCTCGAAAGAGAAAGAAGTTAGCTTTACCTCTTAAGTTGCGTTTTACATCTGAGGGCGGAAAAAAAAAGACAAGAAGGGTGGATTCGTCGTTAAATGGAAAACGGCTCGGTTCTCGGTACGAATGTTCACCCTTCTATCCCTCTTTGCGGCCCGGGCGGCCTCCATCGCGTTTTCGATCGGCCGTCCGTTGGCCTTTCACGGCGAAGTAGCAGTGGCAGCAGCCGCCCTTCCCGTTTAAACGGCGCCAGCCCCTCCCCCTTCCCCGGCGAAAGGCCTCACGACGAAGTCGAGGAGGTGGGGGATCTCACGCGATCGGACGCCCTCGCCGCGGGGGAGCCCATCACGAAGGTGCTGCTCGTCAGCGATCCGATTTTCGACAGCGGCGCGCGCGGCAGCGTCTACGCGCTCACCTGCGCGGCCTCCAGCCAGAACGGCTCGCCCACCTCGGCGCCCTCGTCGTTTTTGTCCTCCTCCTTCGCGTCGACGCGGAGTGGCGGGCTTCGCGTGGTCGGAAACGACCCCGACGAGAACGGCGGTGGCCCTCGACGCGTCGGAAACGCGCGGGAGGAAGGGGATGGCGGGGGAAGCACCTCCGCGCCGCTCTCACGATGTCGTCGGAAGCTCCTGAGCCTCCGCCAACCCGCGTTCGACCTCGGCGCGATCGAAGGCGGTCGTTCGGCGCCGCTGGCGGGCGACGATGAGGTCTGCAGCGCCGCCAAATGCCACCCGGTGAGTAAAATTACGGATTTTTTGTACATCGGCACATGGAGGGATGCGGCAGATGCGGGGATGTTGCGCGCGCGCAATATCAAATACCTCCTCAACGTCGCGAAAGAGTTGGAGCCCGGGAACGGCAACGGCAACGGCAGCGGAAAAGGCGTCGTGCGCTCCGGCGCCGTGGACGGGGTGGAGTGCCACTCCATCGCGATGATGGATTGCCAACATCAGGATTTGAACAGCTGCCTGGACGACGCCTTCGCGTTTATGAAAAAAGCGCGTACGGAAAAGGGCCGGGTGCTGGTGTATTGCCGCCGCGGGATCTCCCGCAGCGCGGCGATCGTCATCGCTTATTTGATGGCGATGGAGGGGATGAGCTATCAAGACGCGTTTGAGCTCGTGCGGGAATGCCGCAGCTGCGTATCGCTCAACCTCGCCTTCCACGAGAAGCTCTTGGAGTTTCAGGAGGAAACCGAATGGTATCGAAGGCAGCGGGAATGCTGCACGTGGACGCCACGAAGTAAAACACTCTCGCGTACGGACTCCGAAGGTCAGGAAGGAATCTCGCTCTCGAGCACGACGAGCCTGGATCTGAAAGCCTGTGAGGAGCACGACGAGAGCGAAGTGAACAAGCGCGACAATGACCGTGAATTTAGCTTCTTGAAACTCTGCGTAGAGCGGTAGAATGATAATTATTTTGTCAGTTTAACAAATAGCCAGAAAGAGACCTGGGTGAAGAGTGCCCTCCTCTCTCTCTCTCTCTCTCTATCTCTTCATAGCTTGAGTTATACTCTTTTTTCTTTTTTAGTTGTTCCCTCCTTCTTTCTTTCCTTCTTTTGCCGGCTACGCAGGAGTTCAGGGCTCCGATATGAGAATATTGAACTTTTGGTTATTAGCATTATAGTCCCGTTACGTAATAGGAAATTCTATAGACAAAAAAACGTTAGAATGAGTGCTTTGTCCACACTTACACGCACCCTTGTACTCAAAAAAGACATTAGCTGTTTTGATAAGAGTCCTTCATCCAAACATCTAAGTAATGATGTGAAACGTGAATTTAGTGGTGATAAAAACAATGTGCACATAGTATTCGATGTGTACTATGAAGGGGAAGCACCTTTTTTTTTTTGAATCAATTCGAGTGATGTTATTGGTAGCAGCTTCCCCAAGCTACACACTATTCTTAAATTACAACAACAAAAAATAGCACCCAATGAAGATAAAAAACTCAATTGTATAGGCACTAAATTAGGGAGGGCGTCATACGCTGGGTTACTTTAAGTTCTAGTTCTATATTCATAGGTTTGTAAAGCCTATGAGGCAAGGAATGCAAGGTTGAGCGGCGGCTTCGACATGCCGCATTCGTTGAGATTGTTTCTGTTTGCTTGTTTTTTTTTTTTATGTGTCGTTTGTTTCCTCTTATGTATTTTTCACATTTTTCTTAGCATTTAGTCTTAAAGCTATATTATAGGAAAAACTTTTGAGGTTCATGTGTCTTAAGTAAACGACATATCAATACAAAATATTGTAGTGAAATAAAGCACACTTCCAAATGGTTTTCCATCATCTTAATATATTAGCGAATAAAATTTCTTGTTTGAGGTTTCCTTTTTTGCATTCATTTTCGTATTTAGTTCTATCTTTCTTTATCTCTATTAGTTTCGATTGCTATTGAGTAAAATTGAGGCCTATTTTGCAAAACTGGTAAAAATACGTAAGAAACGATAACGTTTAGGACAAAAAATGTTACAAGGTGAGGTTTTTGAAGGATTAAAATTAATTCACGTTATATAAATCATTCAAGTGTAAAATTATCCATCCATTTAGTTTTCATTCACTTTGTCTTTCCCTACCTCATGGGAATAGGTCTAAGCTTCACTTTTGATGACTTTCAAGTTATTACTGTAACGGTGGGTAGAAAAAAAAATGATAAAGAATGGCCTTAAGGTGTCTATTTTTTTCCACTTTGTGTACGCAAGTTCGCTTCTTTCCTGTGGAAATTTATTGACAATAAACCACCTCTGCTTTCTGAGAAACGAAGTTTAAAGACAAATTGTCGGCTTCAGTGTTTTTTTTATCTTATTTGAGAAGGGAGGGGAGGTAAGGGGAGAAAGGGATTTACTGTCGATAAGGGTCGGAGTAATGCCGATTGGTAGCTTCGAGATACTCTTTGCGCACATGTATGAGTCAAAAAGTATAATAGGTGGGCGAATAAAAGACAGTAGAAAACAAGGAGTTACTGTTTTGAAGGGCGTAATACTACAATCCTTTCTCCCTCCCCTGCAAACAAAACGAGTGTGGCGCAATTGGACTTGATAATTTAGAATAAGTCAAGCCCATAACTAGTAATATATTGAAGTAGAATAAATTATTTATAGTGTTTTTCCTCGAATCTCTTTTTATTCGGAATTATTTTTACTGTGTGCTTATTTATGATATCTCCTATAATATTTTCTTGGCTTGGTTGCTTCTAAACAAGTGATTCATTATTGATATTGTTGCATATCAATTTTTTTAAGTATAAGAAAATAGATGGGTATATGTAGGATTTCTATCAGCAAATGCAAAGATAGGAGGACAAAAGTCTTTTCTTCACTGCTAAATTGTATGTTTTCATTCTAAAGCATCCTGACGTCTATCCTGTAGGCTCATTACATCAATACTGATGCTAATAGAAATGAAAATATTCATAATCATCTTTGTTATCCAGATTCACTTTTCCCCCCTCCTGGAATTGTGTTCTGGCGCAACTCGAATGAGTGTATTACTTCAAAGATGGAGATTCTTTTCTGCACTACTTTTTTCTTATGAGTGGCATCAAACATGACTGAAAAGGGGTGCAAAAACTTCTTAAGGCATCGCTACTGAAGATATATATATATATATATATATACGTATATACTTATGTGTATATATATGGGTGTTTTGTTTTCCTTTTTGTGTATGCCATTACCATAACACTATATGTCTGTTTTCTCAAGCTCTACACCAATCCTCAGGATGCATTTTTTTCTTCACCTGGGTAGGACTACGTTTATTATTATTATTTTCAAAAGCAAACCCTTTCGTTAGCTGAATTATATTGGCAAAACAAGTGATCATCACTTTTTACATATAGGTGTGCTCCTATATGCAATACTTTCTAATTCTTTTTTGTTTTATATCTGGAACGTCAAAATAGGATGTATCTTGTTATTTATGCATTTCTGGTATGTTCGAACTTATCCCCCCCTCCCCCTCCCCCAAGACCTATCAATCGCCTCTTTAGGTTAAGTATTTTAGTATTGGTTAGCCCATATTTCGCACTTATTACGAGCAATTTACATTTTAGTGGGTAGCGCTACATCAAAGTTCCATAGTTATCCTCCCTAAGTTTTTTTTTCCCCTCCACCCATTGCGGTTGCTATTACATTTCTTAAAGAATACCTTATATGCTAAATAAAAATCGCCTAAATCACGATGTCTAATCCCTTTTCCCCCTCCTTAATGCTCGCGGGGATGGATTACATCGCGCCCTCCACGGTTTGCATCAAACCCGCCGCGGTACAGGTGTCATCGGGGCTGGTCGAGCGGCATGGGGTCCCCTCACGGGAGCATCGGCCTTCCGATCCCACGAATACCGACGCCGCGGGCTTCCCCCCCGCCCTTTCCGCCGCCCCATCCCCCCCGGCGTTGCCGAAGGTCGAGGTGATGAAAAT